AAAACTTCAATGCAAAACAAAAGGATTAGTGCTTCTTTCACAGAAGTCTCAAAGTTGCAGTGGTTGCAATGCAGCATCCTCACTGGAACCAATTAGATGTTATTGCAAGAGAGAGCATTATTTAAACAAAGACATTTGTTCTTCCTTTCCTCATGATGCTATCTTATCACAGTCCAAGTGTTTTATATCAGCGCACTGAAATTATGTGCGATGAACAAGGATGTTCAAGATAAATTCTAAGAGTTACAAAGCAAATACTTCCTTTCTCTGTAAACAATATGACTGAGCCCACTTCTTGAAGAAAGCAAGCTATATTTATACTCACCCTCTTGAAATGCTACAGGCAGCCATAGAAGGATAAGTTTATAATAAATTGCTATATTTGGAAACCTTTGTTGCTAAGCATCTTCTAACATTCAGTATAGTTTATACCATTCATGTCCCTGCTACATAATTAACATTTCATATGTTTTTCCAAAAAAGTGCAGTGCTTATCTTTGTTGTTAAATTAAAATCATTATATTTTCTTAGGGAATTAATAAAAGACTGTGCGGCCAATTAATTAGCGCAGAAGCAACAAGATCCCAGGAGAACGCAAATACTGACATTATATGAAAGGATATGGCACAGTCTATCTTCTAAACAGCATGTCTGCTTGAGACAAAGCAATTCAGAATTTAGCTGCTCATGCTAAAAGGTAGTCTGCTCAACTATTCAGGACATGGTAATCCTCTTCCAGTCTTAATACGATTTTCTTAGCTGCACACACAAATAAGGTCTTTTCTTGTCAAGAATTCTGTGCCTATGAATCCCTGAGGGGACACTCAAGTCCTCAAGAGCCTACCACAAGCTGCTCATTGCAAGCTGATATTCACAGGACATCGTCCAGTGTCCATCAAAGCGTCTGTAAGTTTTCCATATTATGCCGTTAACCTGTATGAAACATTATAAGAGGATGCAACATGTAGAAACTATGGAAATTACAAGCACGTTGCTGAGCAGCAGAGAAACACAGCAAATCAGCAAATCTCAATTTGTCCAGCACAATCATTACAGATAACGTAACTGTCATCAGAGATTAGGTATATTAATTCCGAAAAGCAGTGCACCTATGCCAGTGAGACTTGCCATGTTAGAAATACCAGTTTTCCTTAGCAGTCTCCTAGTTATTTCTAAAAGAGACAAACAGTATACGCCTGACACGTAAAATAGGGGTACAAGTACTTCACCCAACAATTAAGGCTGAGCAACAGACACAGAGCTGTTGCCAGTCATCCTGTTGTCAGCTCTTGCGCCAATAGTGTAAGCTTCGTGATACCTGGCATTTTTCCAGTAAACACAATCACATTATTTTGCAGTCTCATTTCTTAAAAAGCTAAGGCTATCCTTAGTAGAGAAAAAGGGACTGAAAGAAAAATCCACCAGCATTTTAAAAAAAACACAGAAGGTCAAATAAAAGCACCCCTGATTTATGATTATATCCATCTATATATGACTACTTCACAGGTGTTGTGGTTGTAATACCCTGCTCGGAAAAGCTCAGAGCACACTCCACAGATTCTGCAAGTTTCTCATCCACCATACCTTCTCCTCGCCCATTCCAGTATACAGAGCACTGCAGTTCCGCACATACCATAAACAGGGGAGCCTAAAAACTTTTAGTGTAGATTGAACATTTTAGGCTTTAGGCTTGCAGGTCTTTTTTTAGCCTAAACGTTTTAGCCTTTAGGCTCCTAAAACCTTTCAATGACTTCCATGAAAACGCACTGAGTTGCTGAACAGAATACAAAACATGCCTGCCTGACCCCAGAAGTATCACTAAGCAGTGCTTGCACTGGAGAACAAATGAGTTCTGCCAAGAAAACAGCTGGAAATGTTAACTCTACAATAGCTACACAGTTTTCATTAACCCACGTTCTTCAGAATCATACAGAGGACAAGCATAAAAGTTTTTAGAATCAAGCATCTCAGAAAACCTGACTACAGATGATAAAGTGAAAGTTTGCCTATCACAGCCCTTCAACTATCATATCATATACTTTGTTAGAGTCATTATATACAGCCACATTCTTCCTTGGTTTATATAAGCAGTATATATAAACATTATACATGCATACAAAAAATGGAGTGGAAATATAACGATAAGGAAGGAAGACCCCTTTAGAAATTACCTAAACTTGTTATTAACTATACAAATATGTTTAGCCGGTAAGCTCTTTTGGGCTTTCCAGACACAAATGAAGTACCTAAAGGTACACACGAGGCAACCAGGACTCAATCGTTTCCCAAAGACCACTACTGCAACCCAACTGATGAGCAACAATAATCTTGGGCTAAAAACTGAGTATGTATTTCTGGGTTCAGAATTTCCACTTTTAAATTAATTTCCATGTTTTACATGTATTTAAACACACATCATCTGATCTCATCATGGGTGAAACTGGCAGTTAACCTTAAAATTTGTGAAAGAACTTTTAACTTAGAATATTCTAAATACCAAGCATTTTGCTTATTTACAAATGGACACCAGTAATCTTAACTGAATGTTTGTATTGTGTTTTATGCTGTAATGTATATGAAATACTATGTTCAGTTCTGAGCACTGCATTACCAAAAGGTTATTGACAAACTGGAGGGAGTTCAGAGAAAATCTACAGAAGTTCTCAGAAGGCAGGAAGGACTTATTTACAAGGAAAGATTAAACGAGCTAAATATTTATAGCTTGGCTAAGTAATGAATGAGGAGGTAGAGGACACGAGAAGAGCCTACAGATATCTGAAGCGTGTAAACAGTAAGGAGGGAGAGTGAATATGTTGCACCAGGATGTAAACAGAATAGCACAAAGCTAAACAAGGACAATTTAGGCTGAATATCAGAGAGCATCCCTGCACAGCAAGCCATTTTGGCCCATGGAATAATTTCTTCAGTGAAGCAACAGAAACCCACTGCTGGGAACATCAAATAAGACTAGACAAAACACTGGAAAATTTGCCATATGGAATAACCTTGCTCTGCTGGGGAGAAATATTACCTCACAAAAGCTCATCTTTTCCAATTTTAACTCCAATGAAAGTGGGAACATTTTACACGATGTTGAAAACTTAATTTAAAAAACAGATTTCAAGAACTCGATCGTAAAAAAGAACGTTACCGACAAATGCTCCTTAAACATGAGGAATTTAAATTTGGTTTATGTAATACTTCAACTAAATCATGCTTTTACAATTTTTGGAAAAGAAAAAATATATCTAGGCTGCAAAGAGTTAAAGGAGTAGAACTGTATTTTCCCCAGCAGAGGTCACTCCAAGTTAATAAATGACAAGGAAATTTAACAGCATGAATTCAAACCTTCAGAAAAAAGATTAATAGAAAGGCGACGTCTCGGTCCTCTCACTGTAAGAAGCACTGCGTTAGCATGCAAAGCTCCCAGATAACAGTATGTCCTGCAGGTGGATATTGGTAAGCGCCAGAAGTTTTGGATTTGCATGACGCTGAGTAAAGGCAAAATGGTCATTTACACAACATTCAGAATTTATTTTCTAGAAGTTCCTCATAAAGTGGGTAAACGTATCAGCTATTTACAGCTGGATAATGAAGTGACCAAAGTTAGAGAATCAATGCAGAATTCAAATCGCAACATTTTTCACTGAAATTAAAATTTTTGATTACAGCAGTTAAGTATTTACTATGCAAAGACTGTGACACAGGAGGGCTGAGAGACTTCCAAAAAAACAGAGGAATAAAAATAAAAAGGGAGTCTGATTTTTCCCTTTCTTTGTACATATTTCTTTTAAAAAGAATGTTTGCTAACTTAAAACAGAACTATAGCCTGAGCAGCACTATAAAAAGAATACCCACACATATTTTTTTTTCCCTCTTGATCCATACACAAGTCCACAAATTCATATGGGAGAACTATCCCTTAAAATTCTGGAAATTGGCAAGTTAAAACCTTCCTCTCCCAGGTGCCATCACCCCTAATAAAACTTCCGTCATCTTAATAGTTGATTCTGATGAAAGAATTAACTGTGCTCTGTGCCACTGCCAGAGGAAGCTGTCCCAATGCCAAAGGAAATTAAAGCAAGCAACACATACAGCAAACATATTTGCCAACTACAAGGAAGAAAACATTCGTAAGCAGAACCAAAGAACCATAGTTTAACTAGACTGTTTTAAAAGGCTGCTCATGGGTAGATTTAAGGTCCAACACTGAAACTGCATAGACCCATAGAAGCAAGACGTTAAAATTGACTGAGCTTATTATTTCTAATGTTTCATCCAAGGAAAACAGAAGTGAACTTGTGTTTAAGTATTCCTTGGAACATACTGAACCCTCACTGCCATGAGCTGTGGATAATTCTGCTGGGCTATGTCTGTGCAGAGGCTAAGGGATGCTTTCCAGCCCCAGCTCAGGGCATGCACTCCAGCTGCATTCCAGCTCCACTGCAGAACCAGACCTGGGTGCGTGCAATCCCATAGCTCTTGTCACAAGCTCCTGATCTGCAGGCAAATGAAATACAGGCACAAAAAGCAGAAGAGTACTACAATAAACGCTAGCCAGGTCCGCAATCCGAACATCTTGGGAATCAGGATCTGTAGGAGAAGCTGTCTAGCCCTAGCAACTCAGGACTTTGCGCAGAAGGAGTAGGCTCTAGAGCCAGAAAACTCTAAGGGATATATCAGTTAACTCATTAAACTATTGGTAAACAGAGAGACCGCTAACTATCGTATGCTAGAGATGGTACAAGGGATTCCTCCGCGTTATTAATCTCAATGTTAATTTTTAAAATACATTAATCCTCATGAAAGAGCTTTTCTAGTTTACAAAGGAACAGATAAACTGGTATTCCTCATACTCTATATCTGGTTATGTTTTCTTGGATACAATCCGTCCTTTCAAAAGCCACTAGTATAGACTGTGGACTTTTTTTTTTTTTTTTTAATCAAACGAAGAGACTAACAGTAAAGTCAGATCCTAAATAAGATACATACACCCTTACCTGCTTCCTTGCACAAGGCTGCTAAGTCTGCACCCACATATCCATGCGCACGATCAGCCAGTTGCGCTAACTCTGCTGCTGTGAGTGAATGAGGAACTTTCTTAAGAAGCTTTTGGAGTATGTCCAGCCGGTCCTGTGCATTAGGAATCCCAATTTCTATTTCTTTATCAAAACGCCCAGGTCTGCGCAGGGCTGCATCCAGTGCATGAGGACGATTAGTGGCCCCAAGTACCAAGAGCTGCCCTTCACTGCCCTCCTGAATAGACCAAACAATGGAAAATATTAATTTAAAATGAGGATTAAATCTCATACAGCTTATAAACATACTTCCTGCTCACTTTCCACAGAAAATTTTTCACAATAATACACCCCAAAAGTGATCCCAGCCAAGCTAACCATCCATGCAACTTAACAGTATGGTAGGCTACATGTACATATAGATAATTCAAAAGAAACTTTCCTCCGAGATCCTCCTCATCCCACTGTCTCTTGCTCTAATCACCAAGAATCTGCTTTCCTCTCCTTCAGTACCTTTCAGGCATGAGTCTCTGCCTTCACTGTTGTGCAAAGTATTTGAGGATATCAGTACACAGCTCTGCTCACAGTCAGAGAAGATGAATTCTAACTAAAATCAACAGGAACGACCAGGAAAACAGACAGCCTCTCTTGCAAAGGACAACTCAAGGAACTAAGACTTTGGTCCAGCAAAACAGAGCCTGAGAGGAGCTAAGACTAGTCTCAGTAACTGAAACTTCCCTGTACCAGGAAGGTAAGCACAGAGGAAAGAAAATTAACTGTGTAAGCTAAAAGACAGTGTTGGCACAAGAACAAGAGGTAGCAACAGACCTTGAACAAACAAAGGTGGGAAACAAATTATTTAATGTATCAAATCAGCAGAAGCAGGAGGTAACAGAAGAGCTGTTCAGAAGGAAGAGCCATCAAAAATCCAAAGCAGTGTCCTCAAGCTCTGCTTTTTCACTTTTAAAGTGATACAAAATCAGCTGGGAGGTCTCCTGCAGTGCCATTCTCTTTTTGAGAATGAAGCACTTTACTCAGGAAGAACGTCCATTAGTCTTTGCCAACAGAAAACATGCTCTGCCTGTGACCAATTCCAGATTGGCCAAGTCAAATCACTATACAGGAAAACAAGGACAAACTTGCAGATTAAATAAACAAAAGACACCGATTTTCACATTGTGAACAGCATTCTTTCATCTACTGTCCTGCTAATACTCAGAAAACAACAGATCAGAGATTAGCAGACTTTATAGGCATAATTCATAAGACATTGAAGTGCTTTTAAAAAGCTTTCTGAAGAAACAGAAAATTTAAGTCCTAAATTTTACTATGGGAATCTTGACATAGCTACTGTTTTCTTTAATAATGCAGGTTAACTATCATCATAAGTATTTTGACTTAATTTCAGAGCAATAACAATAGCCAGGTTAGTTCAATGACAGGGTGTCACTAAAATCTCAGTTTTACCTACAAAACTACAAAACACAAGAAGGCAAAAGAAAGACAGTAAATGGAAGCAAACTTACTTTCTTTTGTAGTTCGAAAGCTCTTCCAAATATCTTAACCTTAATCTCACAGTTATTGACAGACATCTCTCATCTCTTTTTCCTAGTATCTAACAAAGCATTAGATTACTATATAAAGTTTCACCTAAGGCTGGTTTCTTTTCTCCCATCAAGTGACGCACCTAAAATTGGTTGCACTATAGAAGCAAATTTATTTTGCTCAGCTAGTCCCTGTACAGATTGTCTCAATACAGTCTACTTACTGAGCCAATGCCATCCATTAATGTCAGCAACGAAGCTACAACTCTCTTTTCAACTTCATTCTGGGCCCCTTCTCTCTTTGGACAGAGTGCATCCAACTCATCTATAAATATAATGGATGGGAAACTGACAAAAAAAAAAAAAGAAAAGAAAAAAAAGAGGGAAATAAACATTAAGGCAAAGATTTGCAAAGCTGTTTAAGGAAAATATCCAGTTCCTGTTAAAATTAACAAGCATCCCACTCCATTAGGCAACTTAAAGTTTCAACGTTGAATATGATGCTACTCAAAGAGATAATTAAAATTACTAATATTTTACTGAGACAACTAATGCCTTTAATACCTCCAGAGCTATTCTTCCCTGACACTCTCCCAAAGACAGAAAAACACACAGATTTCATGGCTAAAAAGACAGTGGGTTTTTTTGCCATCTCTGCAGACACAGGAACTGGTAGCCTTTTGCTAATGTATTACAAACATCAGTTACCTGGAATTCTAAGTTTTGCCCTGCCCAGTCTAACAGAAAGGGTAGAGTGCCACCGTAATTCTTCAGGCATGCTACACCCAGTGCCAACACGCGATTATTTAGAACTAGCTTTCACATCTTAGCACAGTACTACATTGCTCTCCAAAAATAAAACTAAACAGAAAAATTCAGATCCAGGTGAAACTCTAGCTAATGCTTCCATCTGGTGAAATAAGTGTACAACACGCTAACAATAGAGACCTAGTGATTTGGCACCATCTGTAACAGCCCCTTAAATATGATAATGTCTAAAAGCATTTAATAGGCATACTAGAACTTCACTGCTTTCCTTTTAGCTAAGCTATATACAAATAAGTGTACTTCCTTTTAAAAACCTCTGCAGGAGAATATTACAATTCAAAGATTCTTGCAATGTTTTTTCTTTTAAAAATTTTAACACTGGAACCAATACTGCAAATAAGCAAGCATAAATATAATTATCTAAAAGAACATACCGCAAAGAAGCTTCAGCAAATATCTGACGTAATCTTGATTCAGATTCTCCATAAAATCTGCAATATTTAAAACATTTTAATAAGAAACATTTTTTTCGTATTCTCCAGGCAACTTGGAAAATTACTCCTCCTGTGCTCCAAAAAGCCATAGCCCTCCCTTTCAAAGTCTCCAGTGAATCTGTGAGGTACAGGAAAATCTGAAATAATCTTTATTTCCACAAGAACAAAAAATTAAGGTAAAATGGGGCACAAAGAAATAATCAATTTGCAGCCAGCAAAAAATTAGAGAGAAAAGCTTACCTCTTCTGTGTTAGAAACATTCTGTATTTTTATATAACAAAGACCAAATGCGTTCCCTGGAGAAATTAACCCATAGAATCTCATCTTTTCATTTCCATATGTTTTAACAAACAAGTCACTTGAAATGTGGCAGAAATAACTAACATGCAGTTACAGATGCTGTTGAAATCCTCTTTATTTAGTCCACGCTTTGCACAAATTTCTAAGCCAAATCAGATGAACCACTTTTATTACAACAAGATACACAAGCCCTACTGAGGAAACCCTGTCTCATCTATTTCTGACTCTTGCACAGATAGCGCATACTCAGTTCCACACAGAGGAATGCTGGATCTCCAATAGGAGATGCCAGTACAGATTTTAGGTGAATATATTTATAGTATTAATGAAAAAAAAAAAAAATCGGGTGGACTTACTTGCTTATTATTTCAGGACCATTAATAACAGTAACATGAGCGCCAACCTCATTTGCAATAGCTTTGGCAATCATAGTCTTCCCAGTACCTGGCGGGCCATATAATAGCACTCCTCTAGGAGGAGGAATTCCTTTAGATAAGCACATGCACACAAACAGAGAAGAAAGAGTTATTTGTGCTGAATGCCTGACTGAACAAGCTGCACTTGCACATTTCATTGCCCTGCAGTTATTTTTTATTATAACTTGACCTCAGAGTTAACTTCTTTAACCAACCTGTCACTTTGATAAAATGGTATGCTTTCAAAGGGAAGAGCTCTCTGCAGGAAACATTTGCAACACTGTTACGTGGGGCACACATCTACATTACTGTCTTCTATAGTCCAAATGATTCTGTCCAAAAGGCAACCATCTAAATTGCTGTATTTTTTAGTAGCTTAACATTATCACATTCCATATATTTTCTTCAAAACATTATTGGACTGAGTACCCAACGCTCATGAATGTACTTTATCCAAGACTCTTACAGCCTCATCGTTGCAAGTTTCCAACGTCAGAAAACCATTTCCCTTCAGCAGTCCAAAAATTTTCAGAAACACTGTAAGGCTTGACTCGAGTATCTAGAATTAACTGCATCCTAAAGAATTCTTATAAAAATATGAAAAAAAAACCCCACATCCATACAATAAAAAGGATGAATTGGCTCTTTAACAGCAAACGCTAAGAGCTGAAACAGAAATCATTCAGGCACAGACTATAAGGGTCAATGGAAGAACAAGGTACTCCTGCGTACAGTTAAAACCGGACAGAAGTTATCTATAACTGGAGTAAAGTAAGATTACGATGACAGGTAAGAGTGCAGAAAAACATTTCAGATCATAAGGCCAAATTAAACGCCCACGAAGCCAAAAACGCTAAGTGAAAAGGCAAAAAGATGAGACAAGCTTTTAACAACGGGCAGACGCTAGCATAAAAGGCACGGCTGAAATACGACCGAAAAACAAACATCAATCCTGTACTGTAACGCCAGACAGAGTGAGCGATGCACGGAAGACAGGCTACATCAGAGAGGTGACAGAGGAAAACTTATTAAGAAACTTCTGGGAATAATATATCTGATGTGAACAGAAAGACCACATCTTATAAGTAATACACTTGAAAGGACAAAAGTTATCTGCTGCTAATTGACAGAGGATAGAAATGAAGTGGCCTATGAATCGGTTACTTTGCAACAGTCCACTAAAGCATGCGCTGCTCCCTCCTGTGGCTTTTACTTTACGGGCAAGAAAGGGAGCTGCCAGATCAAAGGTCTCACCTAAAGTGACTTCCTAACTAGCCAAGAGCAGATAAGGACTCCCAACATTTGGAGGGTTATTCAGTAAGTAACTGGGAGAGGGGAGGAAATATCATCCTCCCTCATATGACCAGTAGAGCCTCTGATCAAGCACTTCTGGGATGAAGTATGAAAAACGTTGATGCTGAAGAAACACTTCTGCCAGCACGAGAACATGTAGTGAATGCTGAGGTTGGAGGTCAATGACCTGGGCTGGAGAGTGGATTAACACTCCTCACTCCATCCCACTGACACCCACAGATTATGCCCATGCCACGCACACCAAAAGAACCATCTGTGTTTTATGGAAATGGCGCCAGCGTTCAGTGAAATCACCTCAGAAATGAAAGAAAAGGTTGAAATGAAAGAAAAGAAATGAAAGAGAAGTGTATAGGTGAGAGGCCTGTCTCACAGTGATGGACACCTAGACTAGTACAATAAGCACTCATGCCTGCTTTATGTACATAACCAGTTGTGATAAATACACAGTACCTTTTTTTTAATCTTTATCATAGAAATCTTCTAAGTTCATGTATATGTTAGATATAATTTAATATATGGGAATATTAATCATATTAGCTTTTCAACCCTATAACTCCATACTAAACATGCTGAGGAGTTCGCGCAAAAATCCTCAAACACTGCCTTAAAATTTTACAGGAACTCTATAACAAGCAGGATTAAAAATAACAGAAGATGTAATCTGACTGAATTTTTCTTAATTTAAAAAACATATTTAGTTCACGCTACAAAAACAAAAAAAAAAAAACTTACGAAGTCACAAGAAACATCTGCACCTTTCACATGTCTGAGTATAGAAGTCTTCACTGTTTGCCATAAATTCTGCTTATGGATACCAGAACTTTCCTAGATACACCTACTTCTTTCCTACTCAATTATTTTTCACACAAGCTAAACATTACATCTTCATAATATCCATACAGTATGATTATAAAGAGTTTGACACTGTTTGTACACCCAAGTATACCAAACCAGTATTAAATAAAAAAGTCAGTGTATATTTCTGGTGGAATAACTCAGTTAAAAAAAGTCATGTTAAAGAACAAAAATTGCATCAAATGAAGAAAACCAACTCTTAGACATCATACCGTAACGCCTGAACAGTTCAGGTTGCTTCATTGGCAGTTCAATTGTTTCTCTAATAGTTTTGAGCTGGCTGCTTAACCCTCCTATCATATCGTAGGTAACCTGAGATTCACAGTCACCATCTTCTGCCTCACTGGTCCTAGTTTCAATGAAATTGATTCTAGTTCTTGAAGAAATGAAATAGAAAATGTCCGCACTGCTTATCATTCCAGGTTTGCCAGTCAGTGGGAGTCTCTCACCACCTCCTTTCCCAGCCAACTTCAAATCATCAGTGAGGTCTATGACATTTTCCTTGCTATAATTAGGTTCATCTGTCTGACCAGAGTCTCGACCACCAGCTACCAGAGCAGAACTGGGTGTAACTGGTGACCCTGGAGCCATTAGTTTGCTTGGCGTGCTCAGAGATGCAATCTCCAGAGTATCGTCAATGCCCATCTTGCCGAGCTGCAAGGACAGATCTAGTGTACTTGTCTCTAGTGTACTTGTCTCCAACTCAGATTTTTCAAGGTCTGGCTCATGCATTTCACTGGAAATGGCACTGCCCGGGGCGGTCAGCTCTGCACCATCAGTTCCTTTCACTTTCATCACCACGATGTTACAAAGTTTGCCATAGAAAGTGAAAGCCAAGAGGTTTCCTGGCAAAACTACTTTCCCATCTATGATAAGGTTCAAAAAGAAAAAGAAGAAAACAAAAGAGAACAAATTTCAATTTAATTTGGCAGAAACAACTTTCAGACACTGTTGTACTAGAATAATTATTTACCAGTAAGCCTAAGAGTGCTATAAATTAACACAATTAAAGGTTACGTAATTTAAAAACTGTTGCAATCATTTTGCCTTCTAAAAATGATTCTTCTGCACACAAGCAGACTGTACGGGATGAACATTCATCATTAATACATGTTAACCTGTGTACTAAGCTCGTTATTAATCTGAGTTTTTTACATTTCATACAGCATACGGAGTGAGATTATGGAAACAGTATGTTAAGAAGTAAAAATTTTGTATTTGCTATGAGCATCATAGGTTTACAATATTTCATGTTTAGCCCACCCGCTTTGAGAATTTTGGCCTGGAAAAGAAAAGGTCTTAGCCTTCACATTCACAGAGAAAAATCTGGAAGTGATCTGAAGGCATCCTAAAAGTCACAAAAAAAATACAGGCAAAAATGTGAACAAGATTTATTATATCTCGCCAAACTCATGAATTTGGAATCCAGTTCATGTTTTGTGCTTCTTAGCTTAGCAAAGCAGCTTGGCGAGTTTGGCAATTTAACAAGTTTGGCAATTCCTAAATCAGAAGATCCTCCCTGAGTAGAACAATTAAACCTTTGAATAATACTACCTTATCCGTGCAGGAATTTGTGATTTTTTTCTGACTTACTTATGCATATCTACCACCCAACGTATATTAATTTTGCTCATTTACCACCAATGTAAAAAAAAGCTTCATGATACAAGATTTAATGTTAATAGTGATCCCTTATCTTGTTTTCAATACGCAGTACTGAATTATTTCTCTTCACAATGTAAACTCTGAAGTGCATCACAGTATCAGCCAGAAGACCACCAATAATTGCTAAACAACTGCAGCCTGAACCAGTAATAGATATAGATACAATAGACTGAAAATCAGGATTAAGGCAAGTTAATATAGCATAGCAGAATGATTTAGCCCAAAGCAGATATACCCCTAAAAGAAGGGCAAGCACAACAATGTCCTGTTTGCTTTGTCTCAAGCCCTTCATGAAGATCATAAGAGGAAATTGTTTGCATTTCTATCTAAAACTTGATCACGCACTACAAAAATAAAATAGTCAAAAGAAAAGCAACAAAACTTATACCTAGGTTTCTCAGTAGACAGACAGACATTTCCTCAGCATTAATAGAGGCATCCTTGTCCCTGTGGTAGGGAGATAAAATATTTTTCCAATCAGTAACTACTTAATGAATGTCAATTACTTTACACTATATAATTTAACCCCACAAAGAAAGAAAAAGGATTATTACATTACAATCTATGAATCATTTTATTTTAACTCTGAAGATATTGGTCTCATAGCTAACAGCAAAAGTGTAAATATTTAAGTTTGTGTCATTTTTCCATACAAAAACTAAATTAAACAATATAATAAGTTAAATTTATCATTTCTTAAGATTACAAATACAGAATACATGTTCCTTTTGATTGACCACAGACTGGTTATTGCTACATATATTGAACTGAAATTTAATTTCATATAAGAAAGATCTCTTCCACCCCTGCAAATACACATAAGCATAGTCTTTGACAGACATCTTGAGCACTTTGCAAAACTGTGCATGTCTTCAAGCGCTGAACACACACTATCAAAACAGTGAGAAGTTTTACCCACGATACCTTTTCTAATCCTTTATTTAATCTAGTTTTAAATGACTCAATAAGTCAGTCTTAGGTCACTTCCGTATTCAGTCCTGGCCGGGCCTACGGCACTTTCTCAAACACACAGTCTCATCACCAGGGTTTAGCAGAGGACCACACGTGTGACTGAACACATCTAAACCCCACTAAGAGCACAGACGTCACTAATTCCCCCTACTCCTCAGATACCCTGCAGCTTATAAGGCTATTGTGATTCAATCATGTGCCTGAGTCCAAAGAGATCAGGACGTTTTTCCACGATATATAGTTTATCCACACAACTTTTTTCCTGTTTCAGTTATAGTTCTACCTTTTACTAAAACCCATTAAGTAACTTATCCAGTTCATCAGCATTTATCCCCCTTAAAATATCTCTGTGATCCTCACCAAACAGCCCTTATGCTTTCACTATAAAGTAAAGCTTTCATATGTTCATATTGCAGAGAAACATCCATGACTTTGTAAGCGCTCTGATACGTATGATGAAATGCATTACACCAAGCTAAACAGCCTTAGCACGAAAGGCATTTAAAGCAGATACAGCAGCTGCAAATAAAATTACGATCAAGAGAGGGAGCTCTAGACCTACACATAAAAATCTCCATCATTTTCCTGAGCAAGGAACAAATTCGAGAGAAAGAAGGGTATTATTCTAGTTTTGAGGAGGTCTCAAAATACCAGAGCCTGTGTGACAAGTAAACACATTTAATTAGGTTACTGGGGTCTAGGGTTAGGAAGTTGATTTTTAACTAAAAAATAATAATAATTCATACATGCAAACAGCTCCCCAAAGCTATTAATCTGCAGAGAATGAACTCCGGAAGTATCTAAAAATTAGGAAGTACTTGGATGATGGGATTTCTATTTATTCTTTAAACAACTGGATATTCTTACATGGTGGGGTGGCGCTAAGGCTTATAGTATATTAACAGGCTTAAAAAACATGGCCAGCTCCTGTTTTCACTCGTAGAGTAATTCTTGGAAATGAGGTATGTATAGTGTAAGACCTGGTGGTTCACTATGTAAAATAATCATTCCAGGAGCCTAACTCTTGAAACAAAATCTTGTCTGAGAAGGAAAATTGTGCTTCTGGAATAGTTTCCAAAGGTTTACTGTAATCACAAATATTTCAGAAATTATAAGCAATTCCTCTGACTTTATTCTTAACCATGTCTTTCAATAAAAGTCACAGCTTTAAAAAAAAGAAAGCATTGCATATTAATATGCCAACATATATACAGACTAGGTTTAATTATTTAATATGCATTATTTTGTTTTTTATTTTTAATGAAATGAGTGTTTTCGACCACTTCTATAAGCAAACAGCATGTAATAATAATCAGACTTCCTACAGGCTTAAATCAGCCATAGCAGAAAGATGTAATTACATCATTTTTTCATTTTCTGGTGAGAAGAGAGGCATGAAGGGGAAAGCAAGCTGACTACAGGGAATCAGTACAGAACACACAGAGTCAAGTTTACCAGTAAAACTATAATTAAAACTAGACTGGTTATACTACTGACAAAGTCAAGATCACCTCACTTGCAGCTCACTCACAGCACTTCTGAGAGTCAGTCTGCTGGAAAACAGCCTCTCTCCCTTAAAACAAACACAGATAAGGTCCCACTCAAAAACTGAGGTTTGACAAGCTAGCAGAAGATAATGTACAGAAATTAGTACTTTGAAGCTCTTTCAAAAGTAACTGTAAAATAACTTTATTTAAGAAATAATTACAATCAGATTCCCTGTCAAATCAAACGCCGACTCAGTGGAATGACACCCCCCCCCCACAAAAAATCATTTGGCAGATGAATAAACTCCTTTTTTAAAAGCCTTTTTAATTTCAAGGCAATTTTGATTTGCACCTTCTGCTCTCCTTCTTCTGTAAATTTCAAGTTTAAAAAAAAAGAAAAATACTCTGTGAGAGTTTCCAATCTTAAAAAAAAACATTCTAATAAATAAAAGTGAAGCATGAAATCACACAAATACAAAACTGAAGGTCTAGGGAGAAACGATTGAAAGTCCTTCACTCTCCTCAGCCTATTAACTGCAATACGATTTTTCAACAAGAGCTTCTCAGATAACAGTTTGCAGCATAATTCCCAACACCAGCAGCAACACAGGCAAAAGCTCCTTCTGGTCCTTTCTAACCTGACATCAACTGTATGAGCAGAGATTATCCTCATCCTTTACTCAGAAGTTGGGGAAAAAAAAATCTGCCCTGATCATGCACTGAAACACACTTGCCTAAAGCAAACGTTAAGCAGCCTGATCTCTACTTCAGGAGGTACTGGCCAAGATCACTATTTGTTAATTTAACATAAAATGACAAACCTCCTACGACTAATGGATTTGGTGGCATCATATCCTCCAAAACAGCTCTGCCCCTCAGCTGAGATTTTGTAAGATAGCTGAGCACTCTACTGACATGTCACACTGCCCACAGAGGAGGCTCTGCTTCATTTTCTTTCCTTCTTCCACTTCTCTTTTGCCATCCCTGGCAATCACCTAACAGCAGCTAATCAAGCTTGCTTAATTAGCATGAAATTATCTACATCTTGTTTACTTAGTTTGCTGCCAGCTCGGAGAGATGGATCAGTACTAGACCTGCTACAAGAGAGAAGGGTGGCACTACACAGGGAAGAAAGGAAGAACGCTTCTTTTTGCAGCGGTTCACCACCAGTTATTAAACTTTAGCCTTAACCCTATGAACATCCGTGCATGTGTGTCTTTGTGTGCATACTCGTTCCATCACAACAGAGAGCAAAATGGCATCTTCTAAGAGGTAAGAGTTTGCTGTGCAAACCAGATGCCTTGCGGCACATCAGTAGGTTTTGACAAGTTCCATACCTCAACTTTACATCTATTTCTTCTGCCTGGATGACTGCACCAGTCACAGGCTGCACAGTGACTGAATCACCCGGATTTACTTTCAGGTTCTTCTGCGTGGTTTCACTCAGTCCAACTCTCCCTCCTGGAAAGCCTGCAGTAGGCCATGCAGTACAGACCTAGGAAGAGTTCGAAAGAAAACAACGGTCACTCCTCTAAGAGATTCCCCCCTCCCCCCCGTTCTTAATCCTCCAAGTAAGAGGTGACAGAAAAAGTTAAGGCTTTTTAATAAAAACATGGGCTGGGGGAAAAGAAAGATTAGGTTGAAATCTTATTCCATGGACAGCTAAGATATAAGCAGCACTGAGTTCTTAAGATATGAACTAAGATACTTTTCCCTTAAAAGAAAAGGGCTGTATTTTGCATACCAAGGAGAGAAAAATTTTGCCAGGATTTTACAGATATGCTGCAGATAATACAAAGCAC